CCACGAAGTTGCGCGACTTCAGGAGATACTTCTGGAGTTCTATTTAGAAGCCGTTACCAGTGGAGTTCAACCAGGTCTGTTGTGAGATATCAGCTCACTGAAGACAATGGTGTACGGTGGCGCAAATTCGTGGATTGGTTGAAGTTAGACATTAACACCGTTGGATGCCGGCTCAGTGGTCTAGTGGTTAAGCGCTAGCGTGCGAGACTAATAGGTCCTGGGTTCGAATCCCGCGAGGCGCGGGATCGTGGATGAGCACTGCTGAGGAGTCCTATGCTAGGACGAAACGGCCGTCCAGTGCTTCTAGGTTTTCCACGGTGGTCTAGCTTCAATTGACCCATGATTTCAACCTGTGAAATTTCTAAAAATTTCCACAAAACCCATTCTGATATTACAGAATTGTTCAAATTGAATAAAATAAACGGAATAGACGCATTAAGACATTAAATAAGAAAGATTAGTTCAGCGGAGAGTTCTCTTTTCGGCAAATTAGACTGCATGATCTTTGCATTGCCGAAGTAATAGCCATACATCTGGAAAAATCAGAATTATGTGCAAAAGAGACTGGTACAACCTCTCCTTCTACCATGGTCTTAATGTATTAAAATTTTTCTCTCTTTTTCATACTCTTGTTTCTTTACAGCCATTTGCTTCACCTTCCATCTTCCCTTTAAATCTTCTACCCCCAATTGGTTTGTTTTTATTTCCACGATCATTCCGATTATATTTCATCTCTGTTTCAACATTTTATTTTATCATGCTGAGCCATCTTTTTCCAATGATAATTTCCCTATCATTAACAATCAAACGATTATTAAACTTCTCTTGTTTAAAACAATTTTTTAATACCTTTTTTTATTTAACCTCACTGTCAACATGCCTAACAGAAGTCTGTTATCAGTATTATTATCATCCTGTTAAAATAAGTATATATATTTGCAGGGGGCGAAGTCGTGGATGCGCACTGCTGAGGAGTCCCATACTAGGACGAAACGGCCGTTCAGTGCTTCCAGGTTTTCCATGATGGTCTAGCTTCAACTGACTCATGATCTTAATCATTGAAAATATATATTTGCGATTGTACAGTTTTGAAAATGAATTCGCCGAAAAAGGGAGAACTCTTCGCTGAACTAATCTTTCTTATTGAATAAAATAACTCGGCAAGAACTCATTATATCATGGAGGAAGAATGTAATTGTAAAACGTCAGAGAATGAATTTGAATGAATAAAATCAAACGTTTCACCTGATCATCCGGTTCTAGCTTTTTCAAGGAAATATAATCAAAATGATCGAATGTAAATGAGTATATACTTCTCTGGTTAATTGTATATTAAATAGGTCATCCAATCAATGTTAACAGTATTTAAAGTACATATTGGTTTTAATGTGTAAGAGATATATGGTGTGATTAGATGACCTATTTAGTAATATAATTAACCAGAGAAGTATATACTTATTTATATTCGATCATTTTGATGATATTACCTTGAAAAAGCTTAAACCAGATTATCAAACGAAACGTTTGATTTACTTTAAATCCAATCTCTGAGATTTTAAAACTACATTCTTTCACCTTAATGTCTCAAATACATTTGGCAACCAAATACTGTGAAATTATTCGATCAAATTTAGACGCAGGTTCTTATACTCATAATATTATGTAGTATTTTTTACGCTCAGTTGTTAGAGGTAGTTAATAAAAGACATTGTATCAGTTCGTGAAGTCACTATCTCAGTTATGTTAGTAGATGTAGACTACCTGGTTGAGATCAATAGTTGGAGAGCCTTGATGACATGGAACAGAAGTATTTACTCTTTATCTTCATCTCCATGCACAATTCCAGTATTTCTTCATGCATAACAACCAACTATTTTTTAAAACCATATTTCCAATATTGACCCGTTCTCATTATTGCTGTTACTACATTATTTAGATCTCCTTTGCTGTTCATATCTTTGTGCTAATATAGCATGGCAACTTGAACTAACGTACATTTTTGTCGGACTCTACTTTGATAATAACTACCTATGAATCGATTTAATCATTATCACGCTCTAAACGCTTGACTAACCATTCGATCAGGTATGCAAACTGTGCAAAAAAATTGAATGTCGAAATTCAAACAAACATGCTGACAACTTATGCTAATACAAATGTATTCGAATCAATTCAGACAGGAGAATAAGGAAGGTGGATTAAGATAGGTGAATAGTAAGAAAAATACCCCTACAATAGCTTGTCAGCTTACGTAGTAGGATTGAAGCATTAGATCATATATTTTCGACCTTTTTCTAAAAGATTACCAGTCGTCTTGAAAAAAATAAAACTTCATCTATTCCAAGAGTGAAATACCTGCATACCACACACAGACAGGAGAACACCATTGAAAAACAAGAAGTAAATAATTACAAACAACTTTACAAAATACATAATATTTATGTTATTTTACAGTGTACACAATCGATTATATCCGAACTGTATATACGAATCTCACTATACTAATCTTACTTTTGATATTTGAATAGTTTGAAACTAACTCTCTCTTACACATATACATGGAAAGAGGTGACTTGAGCAGATTCGTATCCTAATAACAACGCTGGTGGAACAATAGGAAATTAGTAATCAGCATTCTACCAGGCTCGAATCCCAACATACCGATTACAGACTCGAGGTAACCAATCACTATCCCTAACCATTTGTACATGAATAGTACTGTTCATAGTCAAGTGAACATAGTATTTGTACTTGAAAGGAAAAATAGTCGACAATAGACTACATAATTTTCTACATTCTAACAGAATAATCTTTGAGAAGGCACAATCTATCTAAATTAAAAATGATACCAATAAAGTAATAGACAAAAACACACGCTGAAACTGGCACACAGACATTGAGACAAACAAGTAGCACAAAAATGATCGATTATATAATAAGTAAGTCAATCTTTATAGAGCGCAAGAAAGAGAATAACACAGACTAGGTCACAAATTTAACTTGACCTAAACATAATTAGATAGAATAGTATTATTTTCTAGTGGAAAAAAACATTAATTAGTCTGGCTATGAAATAGAAAAGATTTTTATCTGTAATATTGAAAGAGAAGTTTATTCATTGAAGAGTGTTTATAATAAAAATATCAACGAGACGAAGCGAAATACATAAGCAGTAGTTATGGTCCATATATATACTTTGGATATTTTTCATGAATAACCAAGCTCATTTGATGAATACCATTGTTCATAGACCAAGAATGAAAATTTTACAAACAATACACAATACAACACATTATTGAATAAGTGATGGCTCCAACGTAAAGAAAACATAGGCTAACACTCATACACTTTATCTATTCAGGAAAGTCAACATTCAACAGTCTTCTAATAACCAAGAAATTACTGGATTTTATAATGCTGAGTCAAGTAGAGCTAGAAACACTTAGAAAAGATGGCAAATTGGTAGATGTAGTAATGAATCTGAATGGATGTGTTACATAAGACCAACCACCGCCTACCTCGATGGGTAATTTTATTTGGCATGAGAAGTAGGTCAAAAGAAAGCTAAGAGTGGCCATACAAAGATAATGGCATCAGTCCATGAAGTGACTAATAAGTGGATTGAGTGATTTAAGTAGATGCAGACTACCTGATTAGGAATTCGTGTGATTATTGCAGTCAGTGGTTAGAGATCTGAGATGAAATCGCTCAGAAACGTTCCCGATAGCTCACGTGGATTCACATTATGTATTCTTTTAGATCTTGAGTCTCGAAATCTCATTATACCTTTGTTTCTGTATTTAATCTTTTCTACTATTCTGAGATTTGTCTCGAAGTAATTTCATCTTTCTCTGCTAATGTAGTGTGGCAACTTGAACTGATGCACATATGTAGCAAGATTCTATATCAAATTTGACTGACTGGGCAACAATCAGAAAATCAATAAGATATCTGAGCATGATGCAACATGGTATGGTTGGGTCACAAATTAAACGCATAGCAACAATTAAAAAATCACTAATAATGATCACGAAAGTGATGTTAAATGTAAAATTGCACTACAACGGATAAATTTTTCTCATGTATTTACCCGTTCAAAGAAAAGGTGTGGTATTTTGTAACATTTTAAAACATAACTTTGTAGGTATACTCCACACACACACACACTTAAGATATCAATGTTTTCTATACACTACTTAGTAATAACAGTTCATTGTTTACAATAGTTATTATTAAAATGACATGTATTTCGTCAATAACGATGTAATGTTGTTGTACTGATGAAACACTCCATATCATTATTCAGTTAAACACAATTTGCGGATTATATATCTCTTTTTAAATGGTATACTCATATATACTTCCTTAAATGTCACTTCTCTTTTGTTGAATCAATCTGATCATAGCTATATATTGGGATGTGGTTTAAATAAATTATTCAATGTATCAAGTGGTTGTTAATGTGGAACGTGGGATAATATATGCGTTCGCCCAAGAAACTGTGGTGCCATATCGGTACGGTGAGATGAAATTAGCAGGAACAATAACATGGGCATCGAGATAATTGTGATGTATAATCATAGTGAAAGGCTAGACATTGAGAATATGGTTCTAGAAGATGTGATAAAAATGTATGAACGAAGAAACAGGGAAATTCAAGATTCAATGGAGGAAAAAAGAGTAGATGCAATGGTTCTAATTCAAAGTCCTCAACCAGGTAGTCTGCATTTACATAGCTGCCTTAGGCCAACCATTAATTACTTCAGGAAATAGTCACATCTTTTTCGTTCAATCACCATTAGCTTTTTCTCAAATTACTTATCTCTGCATTAGCAAACATAGCTCATTGAAGTAGACAGTGGTCGGTCATATGTAATACATGTCCAAATCACTTCAGTCCACTAAAGTTTACAAAATTATTAAGTGGTTTACTATACTTGGTTCAATCAATAGAATGTAATTTAGTTTGTTAAAAAAACGCAACAATTTAAACAACTTACTCGAAATATATAAAAGAATAACCCAAACAGAGCAGGTCCAAGTCCGTTGCATAAACCTCGTATTCCAGTGATAAGACCCTGACAATTACAAAGAGTATAGTGAATTAACTCAGATTTTAAGTTAAAGAAAACGTTGTTGATGGATACCCGAATTCAACTGTGACTGTTAGGCAATCCAACTATATCAAGAAGGTCGGAATGAGGACAATTACACATTGATGCTTATTGCATAATTATCACGGTACTGTTAGATATGGAGTAACACAGTCTGTCTAAAGGTTGAGCTCACTGACTTCGATGATGATTCCTCGAGAGCGCTCTTAGAAACCATAAAAATGCAGATAATACATCGAATGATCGGTGTTCTTTTTAAACTTCAAGTACAATTCTAAAAAACGAATGATTTTCTTAATCGTCTCGACTGAAAAACTATCGATTTACTACTAATTTTTTCATGTTTGCCAAAAAGATCTAGGATTTTAAAATCATATACAATCTTGAAGATACCCTTGTTTTCTATACCTCTACACTAGGATTCGAAGTAAAGCATTCAAAGTAGATAAGATTTACCTCTTAACATATTTCTGCATCTTTTAGTCGAAACTAAATATTTTGTTAGTGAATGTTAATTTAAATTAATAATTAACTCATTTAACAGATACTTGATTAAAATTCACAATCGAAATATGAGGGGTAAAGATGTTACTCCGTGTAAGGTGGTGGCTAGAGGTAGTCGACAAGAAACCCTGAACCTACGTTTCATGGTATTTGGCACTCATCACCAAGGCGCATTTGTTATCTTGAGAACTGATACTTCCTTCAGGACTTGATCCTTTGTCACATAGCTTCACAGTCAGAGGCGTTACCACCTCTGGTAAGATTGAGATGTGTTTACAACCGATTGATCACTGGGTAGTGACCAATGTCATGTACGAATCGAATTATATCAATAAAGTTAAAATGTGGTCACCAATCTAAGTGACCCGGCATCGTAGGTACTATATTACTCGATTACTGAAACAAAAATAGACGGAGTGGGGTCCAAACCAAGGACTTGATGGCTGAAACTCGAATACTTTATATCAGTGAATGTAATCAAATCATGATAATCGAATCTGATAATAATCAATAATAATTGACTTACTTGTGCTACACCTTGTTGATCCGCTGCAGCATGAGTTGATATAAATGTACTTAGAGCAGGATATGTGATAGAGCCCATAGCAGCAATTAAACCAGCTGACCATAATAAGCCAGAATTTGTAACAAAACCATATAATGTTAATTGGATTGCTTCAAATATTAAACCAAATATAATAACACGTTTTGGTCGCATAATACGATTTAATAAAGATAAAATAAGTGTCTGTTGATATAGAAAAGAAAAAAAAACAACGGAAAAATAGAATAACTCGTTTATCAGGTAATTTGATGTGTCACACACAAATTGTGAAGGCTATTGATACTAACTAGTTGTGCAAATCGAAGTAGAAGTTAGAAGAAAGTTACAATCAGGCATATGAAAACATGGTATCAGACCATAGAGAAACTGACTGCTGGGACTTGGTCATGTACGTAGGTGTAGACTACCCGGTTACGTGTCCACATGGCTATCGTAACCACTGGTTAGAAACGTTGAGTGCTATGGTTCTAAATCATTCTCAATCACACAGTGCATTCACTATTTGTCTTACTTCAAATCTTAAGTTTCTAAAACTGCAATAAATTTCTTACTATTTGATTAATTTATATTTTCTTCTCGAATCGTATAACCGATGTTTAATCTTTCTATAACCAATAATATTTTTACTACATCTATTACTCTGGGATTTCCACTGATAATTTCATTTAGCTGTTATGCGGAAACAAACCAATGTACACATGAACCAGGTTTTATGTTACTTACATCTGACTGACTGGAACCGAAGTAAGGGAAGCGTATTTGGAATCTAAGGCCTAGTGATTGGAAATCAAACGACTAAACCATTAAGCCAACATTCAAACTTATACCTTCAGGCATATGAATAACTAGGTAATTAAGTCAAATAGGTTAATGAGGTGGTGAATCCTCAACGACTGAGATGGATAGAATATGTTTTACCGATATGGTGGAAAAATGATATATGATTGATTTATAGTGAGGCCTGTGTAATTGGAGTGTAATTCCAGGAGAGCAGTTGTATAACCTATTCCGAGTATTGGATTATTTTGCCTTGATTTATTCATTTGTGCACATAAACATTGGTATATGGAGGCACCTATTAAGCATGTGCCACACTTCGTAATTCGATATATGTGAGGACTGGATTACTGCCCGGGTGTCCAAACCGAAACAGGTAGTTTTCATAAGAGGACACCTCGAGCTTTCAACAGATAGGTCTAATCCACAAGGAAGTGGAGCAACGTTAGGAGACGAGAACGCGTGGTAGCCGGTGACTAACAATAGGTTCGTACTCCATTCGTTCCTCCACGAACCTGGAGTCCATGTACATCATTGGTTTGGAATCAGGGTTTTCCAACTCCTCTACGTGGATCCTCTATGTCCACCAACTCGGTTAAAGCACTGGATATTCGCTTTTCGTCCTCTCGATTTCGTAAAGAACAACCTCACCGCGAGAAGGGAGTGAGTAGAACTTCGCTGACAGTGGCTGTAAGAGCATTTCGAAAGAGTGAGCTGAATCTCCCCACCCTGGACCGTACCGGGGCATTTTGCGGCTTTGCTTTGAATGTACATTTTGTATCAATGGCTTTTTGTTAACGACTATTGGTTCAGGCAAACAGTATGAAACAAATCTCTACAATCCTCTAACAAGAGTGAAGATAAACTCTACTTCTGTTCGTAATTTCAAACTTGAGCCTGGTGACCAATTAGAATGAAGCGAAAATGTTTATTTACATTATCCTAATCCATGATAGAAGGAGTGTTTTATTATAAGATTTTCGTCAGCTTATATGTAAAATGTAGTTTTCTAGGACGAAAATACCACTCTATTATGCTACGGAGATGTAAGGCAGTCAGTCAGCCATGATGGAAGAAAAATTACAACACAGACAAAGCCAAACTTCCAATTAATTCTACAATAAAAATTCTTAAAAATATTTACAATTTAATAATTGAATAAACGAAAACATAAGCGTGATTACTGACTACAATATACTTAGATTGATTTGACAATGTAAAGTTTATCCCTAGACTCTTACAACAAGAACTATACACTGATTCAATTAAAGGTAAGTCTGATTCAAATGCTCAATTAACAAATAAGTAGTTTGAATGACATGAAATTGATAAAATCGACAACAATCTTAAGTATGAAACACCAACAAAATAAGTTAACAGTTAGAGTGTACTTGATTTGTTTTTATTTTTCGGTTTGTTTAAATACTCTATAGATGAAATGAGTTATGTCGACTACAAAATTATACGTTATATGCACTGAATTACCTGTGTTTTGATTTTAGTATCTATACAGTGTATGTAATACAAATCGAGTAACATTTACCCATGTCGAAAAATTGGGCTTTCTCTCTCTCTCACACACTCCCTCTTTCATACACACACACACATACACACAAAGCATAAAATAACAATAAAGAAATTGAAATTGAAATACAGATAATAGAGAAGATTGGATATGATTACGGAACAATGAACAAAAGTGTTCAACATTGCTACTATTATGATGATGTAGTTTATACTTTAATGTCGATATATTAAGTAATTTAGTCAATTGATTATTGACAATTTATGATATAACATAAATGAGTATCGGTATAACTTGTGACATTTGCAGTTCACAGAAAAACGGAAAAAGAATAAAACTGTAAGGCTCAACATAAGAATGAAACATTCAACAAATGAGATAGAAGAATGAAAATTATGCAGGAAATCGGTCAGTCAGTCAGTAACAACGTAGAACTTCGTACATATGCACATCAGCTCGAGTTGCGATACCACATCAGCACAGAAATGCAGTTATTGATTCAAATCCCGTAGAGGTAGTAAAAGTATAAACAGTAGTCGGAAGCATTAGAGTTTGAAAATGTTATTCAATGAGTATAATACAGTGAAATAAATTTGGAAAGAGAAAAAATAAAGGGACATGAAGATTTCAGAAGATTAGAATTTGGGAGAACACAAAGAGTAGATTCGTCTGCGCCATTGCAAACGATTTTGAGTCATGTCATTCAAGGTCTTTAACCATCATTCGCTATCGTCTCACAGATCCCAACCAACATGGCCCAGTTCGCTTGTTAGTGACTTCATGGATTTGTACCATGTTTTGGTCTGTCAGCCCCTACCTTTCTTACAATCTACTCCTACATCATAAAACATCGCACGTCGGGCTAGTTGGTGGTTGGGCATACGTAACACATGTCCCATCCATCCTAACTAATGAAGTTTCATTACTTCATCAATTGATTTGCCATCCAGGAAATCGGTACAAATATCAGAGCTTAGATTTTAAATACGTGATTATTTATCATAAACTATTGTGAATTAATTACGGGCCGACTGCTCAAGTTTGTATTACTTAAAGTTTATAGTGAAAGTTCTCATTTTGAAATGTATTGTAAAAAGAAGAACGAATAGAACAAAGACACGTTTTTTTAAATTAGTCCTTCATTATGACTTTTACACTAACATATATATGATTTTAGTAGTAGAGATCATAAATCAATTGAAGCTAAACCACCATGGAAGCACTGGACAGCCGTTTCGTCCTACTAAGGGACTCCTCAGCAGTGTGCATTCAACATCCCGCCTCGTGAGATTCGAATCTAGGACATATCAGCGCTTAACCATTAGACCAGTGAACCAGTATCCAACGGTGTTAATAACTAATTTCAATTAATCCACGACATTGAGCGATACATCTACCATTGTGTCCAGTGAGTTATTATCTTACAACAGACTCAGTTGAACTCTACTGTTCACTGCTTCTTATTAAAACTCCAGGAAATATCTCTTGTATGATTTACAACAATGAAATACTTTAGGAGTAGTAGTTATGTAACATAATAATTATATATAATGTCATATTGATTATAAAATAATAGTGAATAATTAGAAGAAACAAAAGATTTTAATAATCAAAGTAATTATTTGAAGAATTCAATTAAACAGGTACTACATTATAATTTAACTATTGTGTAAACTATGATTTCTTATTTGTAGCGCTTTGTAATCAAGCAATTAGTAATGTATATAGATTTATGAATATATAGGGTTTTATTTACTTGATGTATTCAACTCATGATTAACTACTACTACTAATACTACTACTACTACTACTACTACTACCAGGATAGATGGAAGTTTAATCTTGGAGTAAGAGTTTTTTGTGTGCAGTTATTGTTCAAGTTTATTTGTTGTTAATCAAATTGGGTCATTGCTTAAAATGAAGAATAATTTAGTCTGATCAGTATAAAGCATACTTGTATTAGTGGAGTATAACCTCACGTGATTCAATTAAGAGATCTATAAGATTAGAACAAATAGCCAATTCATAATGTAACACCATAAAACTTCTAACAGTCTTAGAAAAAATAAAATAAAAACGTACCATATTAGTGATTTATTCTATAACAATCATATTTATTAAGATGAATACATTTTTCAATGGTTAAGATCATGAGTTAGTTGAAGCTAGACCACCATCTGATATTAATCAACATATGCTCACTAGTGACTGGCTTCAAGAGGTATATCCTGGAGTTCTAGTGAGAAGCAGTGACTAGTGGAGTTCAACCAGGTCAGTTGTGAGACAGTAACTCACTGAAGACAATGATGGATGTGTCGCTCAATTTCGTGGATTAGTTGAAGTTAGACATTAACACCGTTGGATGCCAGCTCAGTGGTCTAGTGGTTAAATGCTCGCGAGCGAAACCAGTAGGTCCTGGGTTGGAATCTCGCAGGGGGGGGGCGTCCAGTGCTTCCAGGTTTTACATGGTGGTCTAGCTTCAGTCAGTCAGTAACAACGTAGAACTTCGTACGTACGTACATCAGTTTGAGTTGCCGTACCACATTAGCACAGAGATGCAATTGTCGATTCAAATCCCGTAGTGGTAGAGGTAGTAAGAGTATAAGAATTAATCGGGAAGATTAGTGTTTGGAGATGTTATTTAAAGAGTGTAATCCAGCGAAATAAATTTGGGAAGAGAAAAAAAGAGACAAAGAGGATTCAGGAGATTAGAATTTGGGAGAACACAAAGAGTGGATGCACCTGCGTCATTGCAAACGATTTTGAGCCATGTCATTCAGGGTCTCTAATCATCTCGCGGTCCACAACCAGGTAGTCTAGCTTCAACTGATTCATGATTTTAACCATTGAGAATACATTTTTCTTTAATTACTAGTACAAATAGTTACCGAATAAACAAGATATAGTCCAGGTACGATAAATAATAATAACTATATAAACAATATTCAGAATCAATCGGATCATTATTACTATTATTATAAGAATATGATGATGATGATAATAATAATGACAAAATCCTTCTTTTATTGCTTCTTCATCTTCATGACTCAAATTCAATCAATAGTAGCAATAACAAACAATAATGTATATTTTAGATTTAATTTGTTTATTTTCAACACTTTGTTACTACTAATCTCTTATTTTCTTCAATCACTCACTTAATCGCTTGCTCATACATTCATTGAATACATTTTCTGTGTGAATGCAACATGAATGTGTGTGTGAGAGAAAAAGAGAAAGAGTGAAGATGTAACAGGATATTACATATTAGTGTTGTTGTACAGGTAATGATAGACACAGTCACATATTGTTGAACCACTTAATTAGTACAAATATGGTACGATTATTATGTACTAATTATTAAACAGATAACAAATACATAAATATGAATTATTATGAAAAATTTTATGATTGAATATAAATATATTTATTGATAAGCTTAAAGTATTGATAAATTCTTATCAACAACTCTATAGAAGTTTTCTTCTTATAAAGTAAAGACCAATTACGAAACACTAGATAATGTAAATTCACTTTGTATTGTTTTTTTCCCCTTGAATCTTCCCATTGAGGTTTAAGACTGCAATTGATCCATCTGTTATTGGTATATGTGCATACTGTGCGTATTGCCTCGATATTGCCTTAATTCACAAGCTTTATAAGCAAAGATGGATATTGGCTAGCAGTGGAATCTAGGACGCGCGTTTCATCCTATTTGAGACTTGTCAGTTTGATGTACCTGCATCTCAGATTTGTTGATGTTCACTCTGGATAATGTATTTCGTCTTATTTGCAGACAACCATAATAAGATAGGAGTTAGCCCAGGTTGTAATATATAACATCAGTATGAACAGGCGAAAAGTAAAGAAGTTGAAGTAATGTGGTTGGAATGACAATGAGGAGGTTTGATAACACGGAATGAATAAGTATGTATGTATGGAATGTACGTCGGAAAAAACAAAATCTACACAAAGATGAAGACTGAATACATATACACTATTATGGCCCATTTTTAAACCTCTATAAACCACGCCTTTAAATATTGATCAAAATATTCGCGACTATCGCAAAAAGGTAGTCTTCAGCTGATAATATGTCTAAAAAACAGTGAGTGGCTTCAGTGAATGATTGCACGTGTAAGGTTTGACCAACCCTAGTTTCCTGTCAACCCACCCTTACACTCTAAGTCGACGTAGATGATGATTGAGCATATGTAATACATATCTTAGACATTTCAAGCGATGAAGATTCGCAATTACATCAACTGACTAGATTGGCTAAACATAAGTCATATCTTGATGGTTAGTTACTACTTCTTAATAGTACTTGTAATTCTATGACCATAAGAACATTACAATTTATTATAATAAGGGAGAAAATTATACTTACTTGTGCAATACATGACATGATACCAACAACAGCAATGAATAGTGCCACATTTTCTTCAGTGAATCCCATGACCTATTATTTTTATTAGAATGAATAAGTGAAACAAAACAGCACGATTAATTTGAAGTATAAAATATAACACTACTGACCATCTCTTCGATATCCCTGATGTGGATGCAATGTGAAATTTTCTGAATAGAATTGTATACCTACTACCGGTTATTGGAGCACTATAATATATCATCTGGTTGTTTGTTAGGGCTTGTATAGTCCAGTGGATAACATGTTGGGTTTTTGAAGTGAGAGTTAGTAAATTTGAAATCCAGTGTTAACATTAACATTAGCATGCACGCATATTCAGTCGACCAGTCTCGAATAGAACAAAACCTGCTTCGCGGATTCTACAGCTAACCAGAATGAAAATCTATTTAAAAAATTGTGACTAAATGGCAATATCAAGACTATCCGCTTAAGATCCATGAATGCCAATGGATAATAATTAGTAGCCGTTCTTACTATCAATTATGAAGAAATACAAACTGTTATAAATACAACTAATGCTAGTTGTACAAGCTATTAGCTATCCGGATTAAGCGATTCCATGAACAATGGGTTGTCATTTACAATTAATGATACTGGGTTCGAATCCTGGTATTAGTGGTGACACTGGGATAAAGAGATATCTTGGTTTTCTCTAATCTTGTTAGACTGTTGTTAACTGCTAACTTCTTGTTTATCCTTTCTTGGATTCTGTCCAAGGTGTCGATAGAAATCCATTCCGTCTGATGATGCGTTTTGAGGCCAACCACATCCTGGGACGCTGAAGTTAATACTTCTTTAATCCCTTTCCAGTTGTTCTCTATTGTAGTTTCTTCTTCCAGTAGATTTTGTAAGGCTTTGGACCTGTTGACAAGAGCTATATTGGATTTGTTGAGTTTGTCAGTATCTCGAAGTAATGCTGTTTGTCCAGTGCCTCTTTAGATTGTTACATCTTAGCAACTACCACGTGGTGGTATGAAGCTATGTCAGCTCCTTTTCTAGTTCTCACATCTTCCATTGACCTTTTGAATTTTTCAGTGATGTAAATATGATCAGTCTGATTCTTTCTCGTGTGATCTGGTGAGAGCCATGTAGCTTTATTTGTGCATTTGTGGGAGAATATTGTGCCACCTAAAACCATTTTATTGGATGCACATAAATTTGCAAGTCTCTCACCATTCTAGTTTCCTTCTCCTAGTCCATATGGCCTATGATATATTCATACCCGGTGTTGTCTATTTCAACTTAAGCGTTGTCAGGTCCTTTCCTGAGCAGGTCGTTATGGTTGATTGCAGTCCCTCGTAAAACTTTTTTTTATTGTCGTTTTTTTCAACCATTCGTATGTGTATGACATTGGATAAAATTCATTGTGATTGCCTTTTTTTGTTTTGAAAGACACTTGGATGATTCTGGATCCATAAGATTCCCACCCAATAAGTGCTTTACATGCTACTTTGGACAGAATGAGAGCAACTTCTTGCGCGTGCGGAGCATCTTATTTTTTTCATGGTCAGAGTACAAACCCATCTTTCCCGAAACTAACTGTTTTTGTCCAGCTTGCGTCTAATGGATTTCACTTATTCCGAGCACCAACAGGTTGCATTTTCTCATTTTCGCAGCTATTTGACTGATCCTATCAGTCTCGAACATTTTTTGGGCATTTCATGTAGCAATATTAATTGTTGCTCTGGCTATCAGAAACGGGTATCGACTTTGAGACTTTCGAAAAATCTCGGCTTCCACCATGAGACATCTTCATAATACTTCTGAATAAAGATCCTTCAACTCGAATAGCATAGTTTAAATGGTTTAATTTGCTTATTCTGGTTAGCATTTTTTTTTAGCAAGGTTGTTTTCTACAGAATGGGGATGCTGATCCTATACCCGACCCTCCTTTTCTATCCGAACTTGAAACTGATAGTAACCCTAGAAGGGTTCTAGCAAAAGAATAACTTAATAACAAGGACAAACAACACAAACGATACTCTATTGACAAAGTTGACGATTGGATTTATCATTTTAGAAGAAAAAAAGAACACAACCAAAACAACAGTGATTATAATTCTATAAAAAATGTTTGTAAAAGATAAACACACTATCGATCGATAGTAACCAAGTTGTTTACGATATAAATGTTGCTTATTTATTTACAAACAAAGAAATGAAAATGACAATAATGATGAACTAAAACATGCATATAGTTTGTCTACAATTCTTTTACACCTAAATTGCCTGGTGTTCTCGTAAACAATTTGTGTATATTTACAGTACAATCATTGTCAATGTATCACATTATTATTGTTTAACAAATTCATTGACTAATAGTGCATGAAACAAACAATAGACACAATCTATATTGCAAGACATTAAAATGAGTTGAAAACACTTATACAATTATATTAAAATGAAGTGATTGATTGCAAGAGCAAGGAATATCCATAGTTACAAACTTGTTTATGATGTATCTACAAAATCAATTTTATCATGTAATTAACGATATTGGTTTTGAAATCTGGTGACAATGTCGTAAGTGAATTCAGATTACATCTACACTTCTTATTATTGAATATTTTCTATTTTATGACGAAAATGTTACATAAGGTAATTATTTAAGTCAAGATTTGTTTTACTATCGATGGTTGTGAGACATGAACTTTAAAAATGAAGTATACTCGTACGTCACTAGTATATCATTGAACTATTGCTCGTGTGAGTTGGGATCATCGAGTGAATCTAGACGTAAATCAATCGATGTGATAACGAATCTTTATCAGCTGAGATAGTGGTTGGAGCGAGTATTACGTATGTCCAACCACCGTCTACCTTGATGAGCGACGATAGCTAATTTAGGACGAAGATAGAAGAAAGCTAGGGATGATCAAGCCACAGGGTGAAATCAGTCAATGAATTCATTAACTGTTGGACTGAACCATGTAAGTAGGTGCAGATCATCTGGTTAGTCTAAGCGACTATCATAACCAAGTTTGACTCGGGTATATTCACTTTTTTTCTTCCTATGATCCTAATTTTCAATATTTTCTTTCCCAATCATATCTTCTACACATAATCTTTCTACTATCACTAATACTGTCCCTTCTTATATCACTCTGGAATCTCATTGTGCTAATGTGGTGTGACAAATTGAGTTGATACATACAAGTGGCACGTTATAACGTTGTATATGCCTGATTAACTGCTGACTATCGATATACGTTTGATAGAAGAACAGAAAATCAAACGATTGAAAAGACGTAAAAAAAATCGGGACAATATGTAGATGTATACAATAAATTATAAGGTTACACTAATTTCGTATAACGATTCACAATATATGCGCTTAATTATTCAAAATTTGAGTCCTGGGACAGGGTTATCGAATTAAGATTTGATATTTTTATTTTTTAACTAGTTTACCAAAGACATGAGTATACTTAGCATCAAGTCACACCCTAATTGTGAGGACTAGTGATATTTACTATGTCGTGGGACAGAGTTCGAACCTAAGACTCAACTATATATCTTAACGATTCAATAACCATTTCAGACTCCATAGTAAGAAAACAACGATAAAATATCTTACATATATATACTTACTAAGCGAAGATAAACGAAGAAACATGAATATTGTCCAGCTTCTGGCAAATAGGATAAAAATGTTGTAATACATATCATAAGAACAAGATGATCATTTGTCATTTGACGTAATGTCTGTAGGATAGATAAACAAGATATGAACAGAAAAAAACATTATACAATTAAAAACCCATATAGAAAACAATTAACCATCAAACATTTACATAGTTATATAAGTAAGTAACATGTAAATTTACGGAAAACACCAATTATTGGGGGTGTTGTGTTCTTCGAGCTGGTTGGTTGGCTTGGTTATGAAACTGTCATTGTTCTTCTAGACACGACATCATTGGTATATACTTTGATGAAAAGCGAGCAATTAGAATTTTGTATTAACGTATTAACGATGCCGTGTTCAAAACGTAAATGAAAACGGTAAGACTACAATTTATGGGCGATCCAATGAGATTTAAGATAGTAAGTTTTGGATTTTGGCGAGAAATTCATTTATCCTTACTATTAGATAGCATTTTGGCATTATAGCTGTTATCTATTGGTGATAAAAACCACGTTCACCGTTGGGTCCGATGGTGGTACTCAGTTCGATACCTGGATGGAGTTGTAAGTACAGCTTCAGAGTCATATAATGAAATTTTAAATTTAAAAAATCTATTTTTTTAATTTCTTAACAATTGTCTGGCTAAAGTTAGTTCATGATTTTAGTAACAAGTTAATCAGATATGTCAACCAATATCAAAGTCAGGATCTTCAATACGAACATCAAGACAGTTCTACTGTACGGAGCTACAACTTGGAGAACTACAACAACCATCATCAAGGAGGTGCAAGTATTTATAAATAGTTGTCTAAGCAAGATACCCAACATCCTTTGGCCGGATACCATCAAAAACAGCCTACTGTGGCAGAGAACAACCCAGCTTCCAACTGAAGAGGAAATTAAAACAGACATTGGAAATGGATAGGAAATACATTACGAAAATCATCAAACTCCATCACGAGGCAAGCCGTAACTTGAAATCTTGAAGGGAATCAGAAAAGAGGATAGCTATAGAGCACACTACGTTGGGAAATAGAAGCAGATATGAAAAGGATGAATAATAACTGGAAAGAGCTGGAAAGGATTGCCCAAAATAGGGTTAGATGGAGAATGCTGATGGGTGGCCAATGCTCCTCCACAAAGAGTAACAGGCGTAAGTAATCAGATTCATTACACTGTTTATATAATACAAAAATCAACAACAGTTTTCTTTAGCACTTTCTTTTTCATTCATGATTTATATTATTTTTTAATATATCGAATTGTAAAATGTGAAAATTTCAATGGGTATTTTTGTTTTGTTGTTGTGGTGATTGTGGTTGTTTAAATAATCGATTACAACAACAACAACAACAAAAATGGGGCGAGAATTTTGAAAATTAAGTCAATTAAACATGAATATTAATGTGTCAATCATTTGACTTTAATTTATTGTAATATCTAAGAGAGAGAGAGAGAGAGGGAGGAAGGAAGGGAGGGAGGGAGGAAGAAAAGAAAAATAATAATGAAACTGTAGAATAATTATTTAAATGATATTAGTTCATGCTTTAAACTAATGTGAACTTTATGTCAAAACAAACGAATCAGAGTTTGAGTGTTCACATTGTTCATATTAAAAAAGTTTATTTGTGCATTTTGACACAACAACAACAACAATATTAATAATAATAACGGAAAAACTCATCCTTCTAAGCTATAATACATAAAGCTTAACGATTGATGACATCGACACTACTATCTGAAGTTTGTGCTGCTACTAATGATGATGATATTGTTCAGAAGAACGATGAATACTCTACGACTAAACCATCCAGCTTAAACAATAAAACTTTATCAAAATAAAAAAATAGATAGATGATACTATTCAATTGTCAATGAAATGATGATCATTTCGTAACTGTTGAAAACAAGTTCAATAAAAATCAATCCTCTTAAGATAGATAATATTTAGTTCTTATCTTTTCCTAGAGTTTAAGAGCTTTAATAGTATTCAACAATATATAATCTATACTATTAATACACTAATTACTTTTCTATTCATTTAGTTAATTTTAATTGATTGTTATGAAATTTAGTATGAGATTCCAAACCAATTCAGATTTGTATATTGATTTCTACATTATGATTATGATGGTATACTAATTAAATTACCAGAAAATGTGATAGAAAGTAATAATGGATGTGTCGCTGAATTTCATGGATTGGTTGAAGTTAGACATTAACATTGTTGGATACCAGCTCAGTGGTCTAGTGGTTAAGCACTGATGCGCGAGACTGATGGGTCTTGGGTTCAAATCCCGCGAGGTGGGGTCGTGAATGCACCCTGCTGAGGAGTCTCACAATAGGACAAAACGGCCTTTCAGTGCTTCCAGGTTTTTCATGGAGGTCTAGCTTCAACTGACTTATGATTTCAACTATTGAAATTACTATAATCTCCACAAAACTCCTTCAGATACTAATAAATCATAGTTTACAATTGTTACAAAACAAGAACTATAACAGAAACTCATTGGAAGGTGATGAAATATGTATGAATTGATCAATTTAGTTAAATATTGAATGTATATTAGTCATTTATTGAAAAAGAAAACAGTGAATCACCTTGAGAAAAGTCAACCTGTATACCATATATATAGGTACAGTTACACATATGTGTACGTTTAGTCCTTTTTTTGCTTTATGTCCAAGATACATATTATTCACATGTCATTGTCCAATTAATGGCTTTCGTGTTTACGCATAAAGATCAATAAATTCAGTGCTAGTTAATATATATATATATATATATATATATGCATATGGGTGTATTGATTTGTTTTAACGAGAGAGAAAAAATACAAGTGTCTTTATACTTCTTTTTAGTATTCTTTTCTCTCGCCTTTCTTGACTGCTGAGCCAATAATCTGCCACTCTGAGTTAACTCAATACGTACCTAACAGTTTACTTAATTTTGTGGGACAGGTTCATTGTGTTGGCTACATAAAGTGGTAGCTAAGTTTGTTAAGGTATTCAATTTTCAACCACTAAGTTCTAGGTTTGAACCTCATTTTATATACTTAAGTTGGGGTAACCGGGGAATATCATCAGCTTATAATCAAGTACCTGGTGGACGAATCAATTTATTTTATACTCTACCTAAACGTGTTTTTGATGATGGAACATCTCGTCAATTATGATCATGTAGTCTCTGCCTCCGCGCTCCGTCCAACAGAAGTAGTACCTTCAAAGTTATGAATTTGATCCAAGTAGAACATGAAAATTGTTCAAAGCTGAAGTTTTGATAATTTATTTATTAATTATTTATTTGAACACATGAATATTGGTACAAAGGGGCACCAAATACATATGCGCCAAACAAATCCCATTTGATTTGTGTAAGGGCTGTGATGCTGCCCGGATGTCCAAACCGAAGCAGGTGGTTATCTTAGGGGGGCCACACCTGGACCCTTCGACCTGAAGGTTTGATCCACAAGGCAGTGGTGCATCGTAAGCAGATTCAGTCCCATGGTAGCCGGTGACCAATAATTGTTTCATACGCCATTCGTCCCTTCAAAATACTGGAGCCTATGTGCACCATAGGTTTGTAATCAGGGCTTTCCAACCCCCCACCAACCTGGTTAAAGCCGGTGCCGGACATTCGCTATTCGCCCTCTCAGTTTTGTAAACACCCCCGGAAAGAGTAGGACTTCTCTGGCAGAGGCTATATATGCGTGACCATGTGAGAGCATATCGAGAGAGAGAGAGCGCACTCTCCACTCACGGGCGTACCAGGACATTTGGGTTTGTTCAAAAAATGACATGACTAAGTGAATCTTTTTATTCTACGATGATTTTAAAATGGCTTGCTCTTTCCTTCATCATCTTTTGCTTCGTCTATTTCAGTATTTATCAAGTGGACAATTATCGTTTTTTATTTCTTTTATTATACTTCTCATCTATAATCTATTTGCACTTGATCATTTCTGATTATGATTATATGATTGTTATTTTAATTTCCGAATGATTTTCTTTTCATTATACAGAGAAATACTAACTTGATTTGATTATAAACTTATCTGTATAGTAAATGATAGTGTTGAAATGAAAATTCATTTTTTGGAATTATTTCAACTTCTTTCTAATGAATGAAATTATAGGATTATATTATTTTTAAAATGTTACTTATTTACTAAGTTCACGTGTCTAACCATTGGTTACGTTAGTCACGTGAACACCAACCAAGTAGTCTGCACCTACCAACAAGGCTCAGATTAGAAGTTAGTGACTTCAAGGATTGATGCCATTCTTTGGTTTGGCCAACCCTAACTTTCTTCCAACCATCCCCAACACTAGTCAGTCAGTCAGCTACAACGTAGGACCAGGCACATTTATGCATCGGTCCAAGTTGCCATACCTCATTAACACAACAAGATGGACACCGGATTCATAAAAGTAGTTAATTCAGAGGTGGTAATATATAAAAGAAAGATTGCAATAAGGATATAGTACAGGAAGAAAGAATTAGTTCATAGAAAGAAAGACATGAAGCAATTTTAATCTCTTAGTTTAAGGGAAGATAGAGAGTGTATACACCTACACCATTGTGATCGATTCTGAGCCATGTCACCAAGAGTCTCCAACCATCGGTTACCAAAGTCACGCGGACCCCAAGTAGTCTGCATCTACCAACATGGCTCAAACTAGAGGTTAGTGACTTCAAGCACTGATGCCACGTTTTGGTTTGGCCGCCCCTTACTTTCTTCCAATCATCCCGAACACCGGTTAGCATTGCACGTCGTGGTAATCGGTGTTCAGGCATACGTAACACGTGGCCCAACCATCTCAGTCGATGAAGATTCACAGCCTCATCGACTGATTTACCATCCTTCTCTAATACCCTACGTTTAACCTAACTATTACTTATCCGGTGATCCCAGCAGATGCGAGCAATATTTCTAAGACATCTGTGGTCAAATACTAGTAGCTTACGAGTATCTTCTACTCTTAATGACCACGTTTTGCAACCGTAAAGTAAAACAGAACGAACCACCTCGTAGTATACTCATCGCTTAATTGATAGACGGATATCTCGCCTTCGCCAAAGGTGACGTAAGCTGACAAAAGCCAAACGAGATCTTGTCAGACACCAACCCATTAGGGCTGATCGAACTTCCAAAATAAGTGATGTCGACGCGTTCGACTACTTCACTCCTTATCCTTAGTTCAGCTGTTGACGCAGGCCAAAGTGATGTACGTGGGGGCAATATATATTTGAACTTGGTTAAAAACGTAGCATTTTGTGAACTATTATGTCACTACAATTAATATTGAAGTAGATCATACAGTATTCATTTAACAACAAACATTATACACATTACGAATTCAATATTTAACATGGAATGGCAGCAACTCAAGGTCTAAGAGAATAAATATTTGAACCGTTGACTGTACAGGGATTTGACAGCAGCAAGATATTTACCTCATACAATCAACATGTGCAGTGATGCTGCCTTCTCACAACAGAAGGAGTGAGTTAGACGAGGTCGGTCATAAGAAAAGCAAACTTCACTTTACCCTTACAGATTTCCATCTGCTGGGGTAAAACTTTTAAAGTGAGAAGCTAACACATATCAAGCACTAACCATAAAAAGCCGTGTGTAACTGACTTCAAACATTTATCTCTTAAACACTCTAATTATGCTTACAGGTCGCCAAGATCACTACTAATTCTGTGTGTTCCTCAAGTACCATAACCAGAAGTATCTTTCTATAGTGTGGACATCCAAGAAATGAGAACCGCCGACATACCACTAACGGTACTGGTAAACAACTTGTTCACAAGAAATCTCCAATGGAAAACAAAATAAATTCATTCGATGAAATCTCATCCAGTAATAAACATGAATAAATACGATTAATATAGAACGATTATGTAAGGTAGTGATAGAAGTTGATCGGAAGGAAATCCTACTTTGTTCCATACCATTTTAGCATCAAATTTTGACACTAAATCCTATAGTTTGTAAACACACAATCTGAATACACTTTAATAAACTCGCAGCTATACCTTGTTAAGGAATAATAACAGAAATGGAAACAGGTTTTGAGACCATTTTTATTAGGATCTCTGCCAAAAAACGACTCCATATAAGGTTATGAAATAATAATAATAATAATAATAATAATAATAATAATAATAATAATAATAATAATAATAGAAGTACTAAAGCATAATAAACAGAATATAATCTTACCGCGAAAGGATCAGCTTTACCCCATGAGAATTTACCAACTGGTCCACCCAATGTAGTTACAGAGCACAAATGACCAATACGTACTTTTTCCGATAAAGATTCAGGTACACAAGCAAGTATAAAACAAATGTCCAAAAATGCAATAGCAGTAGCTAGTGCAACAACTAATTCTTCACTATATACACGACCAAGATAAGCTCCAATTGCAGGTGAACTGACAAGACTGGCGGCAAATGTAGCTGAAACCTTTGTTAAAGAGAGGAAAAAAAGAATGTTTATATCTATATAATTATATAGTTGTGAATACATTGAAAATAAAAAATTGATTTTATAGTAGAGAAAACTAAACAAGTGTTTAATAAATGACTCCGAATGCCCTGATGCGGTCGAGAGTGAGGAAAGTCAGCCGTCCCTCTCGAAATGCTGTCACATGGCCACGTGCGTACAACCACTGCCAGGGAAATCCTGCTCACTGCCTTCTCGATTATATATATGATATATAATATTAGTCCATTGTTAGTTCTCAGAATTTATCCGTAACTTAATCTTCAACAGGATATAACAGAAATGATGGGTTGACATAAGTCACCACACTTTTAAGAGAGTATGGGCACCAAAAATTGACCGGTAGATCCCAGGATCTTTAAGAACGGTGCACCAGGACTGTCACTAAAATAATAGTTGGAGTACTTACTAGAGTTTAAGAGCTGGATAAAATCTCATTTGACAGCCAGAATTGCTTATTGTTTCAGTTTACAAGAAATAACAGAAATCCTCTAGGGAAAACCTTAGTTGAACTGATTTCACCAACATAATTTATAAAACATTAGCTCCTACAGTTATTTGACTCTTAAATAGAGCTTTAGAACAATAAACATAAGAGAATCATAAGGTTTTATTACTGGTCAAGAATTTGTCGACCGAATCCACGCCCGTCAGCGGGATTTAGAGCACAAGCATAAACGTACATACACAGACTCGGAACTCTTCAGTTGAATACTACCAGTCGAGTCGGAGCTTATGGTCAACTTTCAGCTGGATTAACATAATGTTCTTCATGGTTGTCTACGTTCGTTATGGATATACTTTTAGTAACGATACTTCACCTAAATTTTCGGAAGTCGATCACGTACTATGAGACTTACTTATCGGCTTGGAGAATGCATGGGGACCACAGAGTCCGATTTGGAGACGAGAAAAATGCTGTTTTTTTAATCCCCAGAGTAACAACGCTTGAGTGTTTGGAATAGGTTTCTTCACCTCTAAATCGAAAAGCTGCTTCAGTAGTGATTTTTTAGAGTTTAGTTTCATAATGAAGATAATAGTCTGGTGCACCAATGATTCTCAATCTGGAAATATCTCGACATACTTAAAAAAACCCCAAAACCTATGGAAACCCTTGTCAGTTGTGTTATACGCGGACATACCAATTTCTTGATGACGACCAAGTACACTAGACAGTTGTTTGTGTTCGTCTATGGTTTTGAAACACATACGCGATTTACCAGTAGTTGATTGTAGATGTCTATTGAAGGTTATTCATCTATAGTGGGGTGGTGCTTGAATCAAAAGTAGAGCACTAGATAAAAATGGCGAGTTGATGAGGACATAAGCATTCACTGACAAAGGTAATTGGGACAAATTTTATACATGCTTAGCCATCAACGACCTCAACGTGCGACAATCGTTAGGGACGGAGTAGGGTGAAAGTTAGAGGAGACCAGACCGAGACATGACATCAAATCGTAGAGTTATAGAATGTTAGTTTGGGCTGTGTCAGTATGTGCAAACCTTTTGTTTGGGATTCGGCAGATAGTGGTTGAAAACGTTGGATGACATGGTACATAATCGGTTGCAGCGTAGATGATATGTAATTTATTATCTTTTGGTTTTATTATCCCATCAGAATTCTCAATCTAGGGATTTGCTTCTTTTCAGAGTATATTCATGTTTAGTTTTTTTTCATATGGATGAGAACCACCATAAATCCAAAGTCTTTGCTATATATCATACTAATCCCATCTCGCTTGTGCTAGTACACATTGTGACAGATCTTAAGTTGTTTAGACTGAATGCCTGGTCTGAAATAAGGGACCTGAGCGAATACTGCTGTGTCACTGACTCCCTGGGCAGGGTCTTATAAATAACATGACTCTATATCATTATTACGTAGGTCTATTGATAAAATAGCTTGGAATAACTGCGAACTTATTAAATGGGCTACACAAAATAATAGTGGTTTTATGAAATACAAGAAAGCTGCTTATTCATAACCAGAATGAAAAGAACGACAATTCAAACTCATCTTACTGTTTATGAAGAACATAAAAAATGACGATGGGATAATGACTGTTTTCTAATCTAAGCAATACCTGATGATGTTTCAAGTTACTACATTGATACGTCCTTATAACCACATCCAGTATCTCATACTGAGTTATTATTAACTGACAATTATTTAGTCCTAAAACTAGCTAATAGTCCTTGGTCTAAAAATCAATGAAAATTTATGGCTACTAGATAATCTGGGAAGAGTTTAAGATGAGACACCCAAGTGACTGATGGTCTCCAGTAGCTCAACATATGAACTGCTTGACTTCAGTGACATATGTGCGTATCGTCACATAATGCTAGCAATTCATTTGAGACAACTACAACTGCACACTGAGCTGTAGAATATCCTAGACTCGGAGAGGCTATGCTTCAGAGGTAGCGCGAAACTGACCTAATTAGGTCGTAAAAAATAGAATAATGTTAAGTTTTCACCACTTGGGTGAAATCCAACCAGACCTAAGCAACTGAGTCTCTCAAGTTCTGCATGATGTGCGGTACGATAACGACCAGCATTCCACACTGAACTGGTATATTTATAACACAACAACATAAGACATGTAAACGGATGCAACAATCGCTTGACGTAATGGTCGACCTATCGTGATGAACCAATAGAGCTATACTGGCTGGAACTATCGTTCCTCAAGGTCCTACCATGTCAGACGGGTCGGTTGAAGAACGGTGAGAATAAAAGCAGCAAACGCAAGGTCCAAGGGCGAAGTCGTACTGCTGAATGTACAGAGGTGTGGTAGCAGTAAGTTGTTTCCTTCAGACAACCAGCACAACAGCGATGCTGCCTTCCCACAAGCAGGGATGGGGTTAGAAAAGGTCGACCCTAAAAATGCACAACTCGCCCCATTCCACAGATATCCGTCTCAGGAGGTAAGGTCTCAACAACTACGGAGCAAACACGAAAATTACTCACAAAACGGTCGTGCGTGACCAACTTCAAGCAGTTGTCTCTTGGGCACTGCGGTCACGTTCTCAGATCACAAAGACCACCTCCAACACAAGTTCCTTTCCAGGTACCTCCAAGAGAGCCTTTCCACGGTGTGGGCAACCAGGAATCGAAAACCCTGGTTGTAAACCAATGGTGTACATGGGTACCAGGATCCTGAAGGAACAAATGCCGTATGAACCAATTATTGGTCACCGGTTACCATGTGACTGCACCTGCCTATTTTGCTCCACTGCCTTGTGGATCAGACCTTTAGGTCTAAAGTTCCGAGTGTGGCCCCCTAAGAAAGCCGCCTGCTTCGATTTGGGTACATGGGCAGTATCATAGACCACACACACATCAAGTGACTTGTGTGGCGCATATGTATTTGGTTCCTCTTTGTACCAATATTTATGTGTTCAAGTAAATCAATAATTCATAATTAGTCTCCCTCTTCAATTCCTACTATTCCTCCTACCTCGAATTTAAACTTAAAACTTCCTCCTCAGGTGTGGGGCGAAATACTGTCCCAGGTCTACTAAAACCTTGCTTCAAACTACACATCGGAGCCTTCAACGTACGCACTCTATTTCAAATCGGCAAGCAGCCCTTCCTGGCTAAGACCCTTGAATCGCGTACGGTTGGTGTATGCTGTATCTCCGAAACACACACACATAAGATTCCAATGTGGTCATTCATTCGACCTCACTTAGCCCAAACGCAGAGCCAACGAGATACACCCTCTGTGTATTTGGCGACCCGATGGCAAGTTCCCGTGAACTGGCGGGTGTAGACATAACACTAAGTATGGGGGCATAAAAATCACCCTTTGAATGGATCTATGGTAACAATCGCCTATATGCTGTTCGAATAAACGGCTAGGTAAGAACTCGGAAGGAAAGGGAAACATGTTGCCTTTTCGTCGTTTCTAACTATGCTCCCACTGACTGCAGCCCGGATGAAGTGAAGATGACTTTTACTTCCTTATAAAACTAAGCGCTCAGAAATAGTACATGCAGCAGGTGATTTTAATGCCCAGGTAGGTAGGATAAAGTAAACAGAAAGATATTTAAATTGATATTTTTGGTATTCCGGCACAGTGAACAGATAATGGTGATCGTCTGCTGCATCTGTGCTCAGATAATCGTTTACTTTTAGCAAACACTAATTTTAAGCATAAGGAGAGACATTACATAGCATGGCGACCCACTACATCAAACCAACGATGGACTCAAATAGACCATATTGTCATCAGTGATCGTTGGAGAGGCCCGATAGAAGACTGTTACTCGTTCTGGAATACCTGTTTGAACTCCGGTCATGCTCTAATACGACCACGCATTTGCTTGTGCCTCACTGGATGCAGAAAAATCACACTAAGAAAACCCATTAGAATTGAACTCAGTGACAAGAAAGCTAAAAGTAGATTCCAGGAAAAACTGACGTCACATTTAGGTAGTTCTGCAAACGAGGCTGACCAAGATGTTACATGGATAGATATATGAACAGCTGTGATGTCTAACAGTGATTTAAACCAAAAGGTTACGAAAAACCAATGGATTTCTGCTAAGTTTATAGCACTGATAGATTCTCGTAAACTCATCCGACCGGGCTCTGAACACGATGAAGAACGAGAGGAAATCTGATTTAGGTGAACCAAAAGCCTAAGGAACGACCGTGAGCAGTGGTGGGCAACGAAATAAGAGATTGAAAAGGCAGCGGCTGTAGGAAACACAAGACCACTTTTCAAACCAATAAAAGAAACTGGAATTAAGAAGTCTAGTCGGTGCATACACTCTTTGTCTTCCCTTAAACTGTGAAATTAAAATTACTTTATATCTTCCTTTCTACTAAGTCTTTCTTCTTGTACTACATCCTTATACACAATGTTTCTTTTACATATTACCACCAGTAAAGTAACTTATATGAATTCAGTGTTCATCTTGTTGTGCTAATGAGGTGTGGCAACTTGGACCGATAGATATATGTGCCTGGTCCTACGTTTTTATTTATTTATTATCTATTTTAACAGATATTGGTACAAAGGGGCACCAAATACATATGTGCCACACAAATCTCATTTGATATGTGTGAAGGCTGTGATAATGCCCGGGTGTCCAAACCGAAGCAGACGGTTTTCTTAGGTGGTCACACTCGGAGCCTTCGACCTAGAGGTCTGATCCACAAGGCAGTGGAGCATCATAAGCAGATTCAGTCCCATGGAAGCTGGTGGCCAACTATTGGTTCAGACACCATTTGTTCCTTCAGGATACTGGGGCACATGTACACCATTGGTTTGCAATCAGGGCTTTCCAACTGCACTAGGTGGACTCACCGTATCCACCAGCCCAGTTAAAGCGCCGGACATTCGCTTTTCTTCTCAATTTCGTAAACAACACTCGTTGTGCGAGAAGGCAATAAACAGGACTTCCCTGGCAGAGGCTATACACGCGTGGCCATGTGAGAGGATTTAGAGAGGGAGGGAGGGCGGGCTTTCCCCACTCTCGGCCGTATCAGGGTATTTGAGGGGTCCTATGTTGCAGCTGACAGACTGATTTTGGAGTAATGAAATATTACTGTCACACTTCCTGTAGACAATCCAGTTAATTTTTGATGAAAACGTCATTTTGTGTTTGAGAATGGGTGAGACAAGGCATTCTAAAGAGTGTCTTAAAGCTCGAACTAGACATTTCAGTTTATATAACTAACGCTGACTCCTATTGAAGGAAAATGTTTGACATCGTTGAGTCGCCGACAAACCTCAACCTCGAACTTCAATCGTTGGCAACGTAGGTATGCTAAGTGACAAAACACCGTTCATAATACCAGCTGTTTTGGAGTTCTAGTAAAATAAAATCAACTGTTGACGGATTAGTATCACTCGACTCCTAGCGCTTGGTTATCCAGATGGGTGAGACTAGATTCTACTGCCATAAGGTTGCCATACAAACCCATAGAGAACATTAAACTGTTGAGCCGCCTAGACATTCCAATCACACGATGGGTCTTCGAGAACAAAACGAGAGGGCTCTTGATTCATAAATCCAATGTACGAGACATTGAAGCAACATCAAATGGATATGCATAGACTCCAGCAACTAAGTTACGCTCTCAGGGTCACATGATCTCTTAAGTTACGGAAACCACCTAAACGACTCGTTTTGAATTAAGGTTTGTCAATTATGCTAGATAAAAACTTGCAATCTGACAACTCAATTTATACACAGGATGCCCCCTTACCGCGCGACATTAAGGAAGTAAATAGGAACTTCGAAAAGTTTTTGAATGGACAATATGAAGATGTTCAAAAAGATTGATTGAACTCTGTTTTAATAAGACATTTGGGCAACATCCTGCAGTACTGAAAATCGATTAATGATTGACGTCCAACTCGTTGAGGTCGAATACAGAAAGTACTAATAATAAGTTTAAGTGATCGATTATGTGAAATAAATAGTGAAGCTGCAAACAGACAACCAGTGCCACACAAAATGTAAGCAAATAGAGGGCTGATTGGCTTCATTCTTTCTGCATAGTTGGCACAGCAATTGCAGAAATTGACACCAATATAAACCGGCATGTCAGTCCAAAGATGGTTTGAAACAATAAACTAATACACGAAATAATTCACCACAGACTACAGTAAGTTATTTGCAGTGTTCGCATCACTGGTTAGTGTATAAACTAAATACTAATGATAAACGCACGAAGGTAGTACACTGGAATGCTATACTTTAGGCGATCAATTATAAGAGCATGGGAAATCTGTCTTTTATATCGTATTAACCCATATTTCAGTTGGGTAATTAAGGCTAACATCGAAAATGTCAAATAACGCTACTGATTGAGAAAAAAAACAGTTCAAACTACATAAACCAAAGAGACAGGGCAAACGTGTTAGCTACCAAAAACCTTAGTCAAAACACAAGTAACTATCGAAACTTTTAGTCCATTACCTGTTTCGTCAAGAAATGAAGTTTTACAGACTAAAAAACCTTAAAATTGGTGTGGTATTTCTGAAGGAACAGAAAACCTAATTTTTGGACAATTAACTTTGGTGTGGAAAAGTTACCAGTCATATTTTCATATACGAACTTACTAGTCCATATCCCCAGCTTCTATCTTCTTCTGATGTGATATCAGCGACATATGCCAGAGCAAATGAAAATGTCACTGCGAAAATACCTGATATACTGATCATTGTAAAATACCACCAATGACTGATTTTCATCAGTGGTATTGGAGAACAAGAGAAGGTTACTGTTAGAAGTAGGAAAGGCTTTCGTCCAAACATATCTGAGAGAGCACCCAGAAATGGTGCACTAAGGAAGGATAATATTCCCTTTACTCCGTGAATGATACCATTCATTAGAAAGGTATGTTTGGGAAATGTCTCATCTAAAACCTGAAACGTATAAATGGTAACATAACTGGAATATACCGAGATCATTGGGGTGGTTAGCAATCCGAAGGCAAAGAACTCTAGGAATATCACGATGGCAGCATGATAAACAGTGGGTTTGGACCAACATGACTGTTCCTGAGAAGTTTGTTGAAGGTCAGCACATCTTACTTCGGGCTTGTGATCGCCAGATACAGTTAGACGCCTCCTACTAACCATGTTTTACAGCCTAATCGTCATAATTTGAAAATAACGTCAACGTTTCATTTGATTTTGGCGCATGTCGAGAACACCTGTACAATATGCAGCATTCAATATCTCCCTAGAAAACTAATGCAAACGAAATCATTTATTTACTCTTTCCCTTTGATGTTAGTGTAAGGCTATAGGTCTTTAATATTGTCAGTTCTACACTACACCACTACACAACAGGTGGATTCGTGCTGCCCAAAGTAAGAAACTATAAAGATTTATGAGTCATATTTAGCAGTGATCTCAAAACCACTAGTCACTGTAAGGCTGCTGCTGCGAAAGGTTGTAGGACATTATGGTCTATTCGTAGGTCTTTCCAGTATTTAGATGGCCTATTATTCTAGCATCAAAAATAAATGTAATTAATACCGAATTAGGCATCAGTCTAAAAAACATTACTATCGAGTCGTCTTGTAATATTCTGTTACCTAGCAATTACAATATCGATTGATGAAAACGGTCTTTATAGACTTTGTACCGTATTCATACAGTAGACGCTTTTGCGCATGCTCTACGAGATTTATGAACCTTTTAGGGTCTATGTTGCAAGGACTTTGTAAGTTCCGAGATAAGGGAATGTATAGGTCTAGGATGACATGATGACATGATTACCTGTTACTCCTCGTGAAGGAGCATAGGTCGCTCACCAGCGTTCTCCATCCAACCCTGTCCTGGGCAATCCTTTCCAGCTCCTTCCAGTTGTAATTCATCCTTTTCATATCTGCTTCTATTATCCGACGTAATGTGTTCTTTGGCCTTCCGCTTTTCCGCTTCCCTTCACCATTCCAAGTTAGAGCTTGTCTCGTGATGCAGTTTGACGATTTGCGTAATGTATGTCCTATCCATTTCCATCGTCTTTTCCTAATATCCTCTTTGGCTGGAAGTTGGTTTGTTCTCTCCCACAGAAGGCTATTGCTGATGGTATCCGGCCAATGGATGTTGAGTATCTTGCGTAGACAGCTATTTATAAATACTGGTACTTTCTTGATTGTGGTTGTTGTAGTTCTCCAAGTTTCAGCTCCATACAGTAGAATTGCCTTGACGTTCGTATTGAAGATTCTCACTTTGATATTGGTTGAAAGTTGTTTTGAGTTCCATATGTTTTTCAATTGTAGGAATGCGGCCCTTGCTTTGCCAATCCTCGCCTTTACGTCTGCATCTGAGCCTCCTTGTTTATCGATGATGCTTCCCAGATATGTGAAGGATTCTACATCTTCCAGAGTTTCGCCATCAAGAGTGATTGGATTGCTGTTCTCCGTGTTGAATTTGAGGACCTTGGTTTTCCCTTTGTGTATACTGAGGCCTACTGATGCAGAGACTGCTGCTACATTGGCTGTCTTTATCTGAATCTGTTCACGTGTACGTGATAGGAGGGCTAGGTCATCTGCGAAGTCCAAATCGTCTAATTGATTCTGAGCTGTCCATTGTATTCCGTGTTTTCCTTCAGATGTCGAGGTTTTCATAATCCAGTCGACCACAAGAAGAAAGAGGAAGGGAGAGAGTAAACAGCATTGTCTGACTCCGGTCCTTACCTGGAATGCATCTGTCAGCTGTCCTCCATGCACTACTTTGCACTGTAGTCCGTCGTATGAGTTCCGGATAATATTGACAATCTTCTCAGGAACTCTGTAGTGTCGAAGTTTCCATAATGTCCTCCTATTTACACTGTCGAATGCCTTTTCATACTCAATGAAGTTGATGTACAGTGACGAGTTCCACTCAACTGATTGTTCGACAATGATCCGCAGTGTCGCAATTTGGTCTGTGCACGACCGGTCCTTACGGAATCCAGCTTGTTGATCTCGAATTTGGGCGTCTATTACATCTTTCATCCGGTTCAGCAAAACTCTGTTAAAGACTTTTCCTGGTACTGACAGTAGTGTGATGCCTCTGTAGTGTTCACATTTGCTCAGGTCTCCTTTCTTTGGAATCTTGATGAGGTGTCCTTCTTTCCAGTCCATCGGCACTTGTTCCTCCTCCCAAATCTTTTTGAATAGAAGGTAAAGCATGTTTGTAGTTACTTCGATGTCTGACTTCAGTGCTTCAACTAGCGTGTTGTCGGGTCCTGCTGCATTCCCGTTCTTGATTTGTCTGACGGCCATTCTGATTTCTTCCTTCGTTGGTGGATTGACATCTGTAGCAAGATCTGTGTTTGCTGCGTCGGTGTCCGGTGGATTCATTGGAGCCGGCCTATTCAGGAGTTCCTCGAAGTATTCTACCCATCTGTTTCGCTGTTGTTGAATTTCAGTGATTGGCTTGCCTTCTTTGTCTTTGACCGGTCTCTCTGGTTTACTGTTTTTCCCTGCTAGATTCTTCGTTGTATCGTAAAGTTGTTTCATATTTCCTTCCCTTGCAGCTCTTTCCGCCGTCGTTGCTAGTTCTTCCACGTATTTCTTCTTGTCGGCTCTAATGCTCCTCTTCACTTGCTTGTTTGCTTCTATGTATTCAGCTTGTGCTTGGACTTTCTATGTTCATGTTCGGCTGTTGTTAATTGCTGTCTTCTTGTTCTTCTTTTCTATGATCTCGTCCAGTGTTTCTATAGAGATCCATTATTTATGATGGTGCTTCTTTAGACTCAGAACCTCTTGACACATTGAAGTTAATGCTTCTTTGATACTTTTCCAGTTGTCCTCCATGGTAGTTTCTTCTTCCTTCAGTAGATTCTGTAAAGCTTGGAACCTGTTGTTGAGAGCTATCTTGAATTCATTGAGTTTGTTAGTATCTCGAAGGAAGGCTGTATTAAACCTTTGTAGTGCTGTTTGTCCACTTGTCCAGTTCTTTTTTAGCTTCAATTTTAAATTGGCTACAACTAGGTGGTGATCTGAAGCTACGTAAGCACCTCTCCTGGTTCTCACATCTTCCATTGTCCTTCGGAATTTTTGTTGATGCAGATATGATCTATCTGGTTCTTTGTAGTGTGGTCCGGTGAGATCCATGTAGCTTTGTGTATATGTTTGTGTGGAAATATTGTGCCTCCTATGACCAATTTGTTGAATGCACACAGATTTGCAAATCTTTCTCCATTTTCGTTTTTCTCACCCAGTCCATGTCGTCCCATGATATCTTCATATCCGGTGTTGTTTATTCCGACTTTTGAGTTTAGATCTCCCATCAGAATGGTGAGGTCGTTTCTCGGACACTCCTCTATGATTGACTGAAGCCGCTCGTAGAATTGATCTTCAATGTCGTCTTTGCTATCATTGGTGGGTGCATAACATTGGATAATATTCATTAATATCCCCTCCTTCTTTGTTTTGAATGGTGCTTTGATGAATCTGGATCCGTGAGATTCCCATCATGCAAGTGCATTTCGTGCTACTTTGGACAGCATTAGAGCGACTCCCTGAGTGTGTGGAGGATTTTCCTTTTCGTGACCGGAGTATAGTAGCATCTCTCCCGTAGCTAGCCTTTTCTGTCCAGCTTGGGTCCAGTGGGTTTCGCTGATTCACTGTACTGGCAAATTGAATCTCTTCATTTCCGTTGCTATTTGACTGGTCTTCTCGGTTTCCCACATTGTTCGAACGTTCCATGTACCTATAAAAATTTTTGCTCTGGTTGTTAGAAGGGGCATCGGCCTCGTGGCTTCCGAAGGAATTCGGCTTTCACCATGAAGCGTCATAATTCTTCTAAATGAAGACCTTCTAAATCCCAGGGTAGAGTTAAAATGGTTTGAATTATTTTTTCTGGTAAGCGTTTTTTTAGCGAGTTAGTTTTCTACGGGATGGGGACGCTAACGCCATGCCCAACCCTCCTCCTTTACCCGGGCTTGGGACCAGCAGTAACTCTAGAAGAGCTACAGGCGGAGTTATAGGTCTAGGATAGTGCCTGAAAAAGCTCAGGATTCAGCGTACCCATTTGCCTTTGGATGAAGTGAGAAGTAAAATAGACTTTGACTGGACTCTTCAGTAGTTGTCTGTAACGTCTAGGTAACAGACCTAGTTCGCCGTCCATTGAGGTGCAATATGGGAAGTTATTGTTGAGCAAGTGGTCATTTGTTTGCCCCCCCCCCGGTGGCTCAAAATAACGTCGTTTTACACGTCCGGAGACCAAATACTGAACCATGTTTTTTTGTTTATTCCTACAGCAACAGATTTCTTCAGAGTTTTGGTGAATCGCCTTCATAACTGATAGTTATTCAGCTTAATTTCTCCTGCACAGTTAATGGTTGACGAATTAAAGACGGCTAGTAGGTCGTTGATGAATATGAGATATCACAAAGAGTCCAGTACTATTCCTTGAGTAACCAAAAATGTGTACTCAGTTTACTTTGGTGCGGAGTTCTCGGTCATATAGGTAGTTCGTTAACAAAGAGAAAGTTAGACATTTGAGCTCTAACCTGGCAGCCACTTATAATCGAACATGTGTTGAGACAGGTTGCTTAATCAGTGCGTGGGGAATTCCGTGAGCTTTTTTAGTATTGTAGGGCTTACTTCGTCACAACCAGATTGATAAGTTTCAATATTTTTCCTATTTCTGGATCATGTGTAACTTGTTCAATAACGTACCAAACTTTTCTGTTGTCCTTATGTCTACATTGTCTAAGCATCCAATTCTACCAGTTTAAAAGGTACACGCTCGAGACTTTAGCGGCGCCGAGAATAATCTACTTTCACATCCTGAGGTGACAGGTCATGAATAATAAAAAACATGAAGAGTTTACAAATAATATTCTACACAAGTGGGTTAATTAAACAAATAAAAGCAATGAAAATAAGCGGCAGAATATTCGTGTAGATATACGGACGGCCTAATAACCTGATTTGCTCAACAGTAATAAACTTTATGTTCATAGTCATTAAGATCTGTTCAAAAATGGCATCGAGTCCAGTTTATGACGTTGGCGAGCGCAAATTTGATCCAAAGAAGCTTTGCGTGTTAGAATCAGTATGTTGCTATGTATTCATGTGACGTAATTATTTTATAGGTTTACGGTCGTTATAACGTAACTATTGATAGGTGCTTTATAT